ACTAGCACCTATTTGTATTCCTTAAAGTGAAATGATGGCAATCATCTTTCGGGACTGACCTGAAATGAAGAGAATACTCATTGCTGATCACTTGATTATTTGGGCATAATTCATGTTCCATATGGAATACGTGGTGTAAACTAGAAGTGGCGGTTTGATGTGGGATCGGTAAATGTGTATCCTACTTTTTTTAGGGTATGATGTGATTGCTCAAGCTCAGTCAGGTACTGGCAAGACAGCCACATTTGCTATTTCCATCCTGCAACAGTTGGAGATTGAGTTCAAGGAGACCCAAGCACTAGTATTGGCCCCCACCAGAGAACTGGCTCAACAGGTATTGATAGTGTAGTTCAAAAAAACTGCTTGCGTGTTGTACAGGTTTCAGGTTTCACAATTGTGAAGAATTTAAAGCTTAGTATAAATTTGTCCTACAGAGCCCTCCTTTTAACTGTGTGCATGCAGGGAGTTTCTGTTGAAAGCTAAACAGTCAGACGGGAACTGGGTGTGCAGGTATGGTTTGCAGGGTTGTGTAACAGATTGAGAAACAAGTTTTTGTTCAGGGTGGACTAGACCTGTTCTCATTTTCAAGTTTGAATGCAGTTGTGCAACATGAAAACTACAGTGACATGTTATTTGACTGTCTTAGTAGTTTGTGATGTATCTGTTGCAAGCTGTGTTTTCAGAGCTCACTGCCATATTGGTTTGAAGTAAAACCTTGCTAATAACATCTGTAGGGTTTATTAAAGCCAAGATTACGTCGCAGTGCTACGGGAAAAATTGTTTTACCATGGTTTACACTTTAATACACAATGAAGAATAACAGTAGGAAATGTTTTTAGTTACGTAGCTGGTACCTGGGGCAACAGGATCTCAAGTTTGACAAGGCACAAGATGTTTTCAGGGAAGTTTATCTTGAGGCATTTAGATTGGTCTGCATTTTAAGCTCGGAAGTAGTTAAGTGCTCTGCATGCATTAAAGCTGTTTGTAGACCAGATATTTGCCATTATGCTTTGGAAGTTAAGTCGCAGAACTAGTAATTCTGCTGGATAATAATCAGGCTTTTGGCTTTCAGATCCAAAAGGTAATTCTGGCACTTGGAGACTATATGGGAGCAACTTGTCATGCCTGCATTGGTGGAACCAATGTTCGAAATGAAATGCAGAAACTTCAGGCTGAAGCACCACATATTGTTGTTGGTACACCAGGGAGAGTGTTTGATATGTTAAACAGAAGATACCTTTGTAAGTACTGCTTGCCGAATATAGTTTGGTTTTACTATTATAAATAAAGTAAATAGCATGCCTGAAAAGCTAGAGATGATAGTATGACTTTATTTTAAACAGCTCCAAAATGGATCAAAATGTTTGTTTTGGATGAAGCAGATGAAATGCTGAGCCGAGGGTTTAAGGATCAAATCTATGAGATTTTCCAAAAATTAAATACAAGTATTCAGGTGAGCTTTATTTCACTCCCACTCTTAAAATAGCTGGAGGTTAGGTTTAATGCAGGTATTATTACAACATAACTGAAGTGTTCTGTTGTCGTTCCCCCTGAAAGCAAAAGCAACTGATGCATAACTGTCACAATTCCATGCTCAGACAGATGCTTGGTCTCAAAGATTTTTTTTCGTCGAGTATTGTGCCAAGTTGTGCTAACTACTTGTGTGACGTGTGACAGCATAATGAATTTTTTTTTTTTAAGGTGGTGTTGCTTTCTGCCACAATGCCAACGGATGTGTTGGAAGTGACCAAAAAATTCATGAGAGATCCCATTCGAATTCTGGTGAAAAAGGAAGAATTGACCCTTGAAGGAATTAAACAGTTTTATATTAATGTTGAAAGAGAGGTAATTTGTCTAATAGTCAAACATAAAAATGTAGCCAGGTTTTTTTTTTACCTTCTTGAATAAGCACTGTGCTAAAATTACAGAAACTAGGATCACATCTTGGTTTTTGTAATAATGCTAGCAGAGTACACACAAGAAGAAGAGTAACTGCACTAGGTTGTAAAAGACTGGGGTGGACCTCTTTCTTAATGTCCAGTGTCCTTCGTCTTAAGATTTGGTGCAATATGTCTTTAGACCAATCTAATAATGAGTTTCTAATGAATGTAAGTTGGAAACAATCATGTTAATTACTGTTAACTTTCTCTTTGAAATACTGTAGGAATGGAAGTTGGATACACTTTGTGACTTGTATGAGACACTGACGATTACACAGGCTGTTATTTTTCTCAATACAAGGCGTAAGGTGGACTGGCTCACTGAGAAAATGCATGCCAGGGATTTCACAGTTTCTGCTCTGGTAAGAGGTATTCTAACCTAGTAATGGTAACTTAAGTCTACCTTCATTAAAGCAGGATTTAGACTACAATATAGCTGCTAAGTGCTGTGTTGTCGTTCCCCCTGCTCAAAATAAAGTTGTTTCTTAACTATACCTGTCTGCTGTACCCCTGTAGCAGCCAGGGACGCTTGGTCTCATACATGTTGATAAGATTAAATGTTGATTTGATTGGTGATATTCTTGAATTAATAGGTTTGTTCCTTTGCAGCATGGTGACATGGACCAGAAGGAAAGAGATGTTATCATGAGGGAATTCCGATCAGGGTCAAGCCGTGTTCTGATCACTACTGACTTGTTGGTAAGTCTTTCACTGCTCTTTTTAATTCACCAAAAGTTTGTTTGGGGGGAAGGTTTTTTAATAACCTTTACCAATTCTGGGCTATTTGGGAGAATAAAGAAAAGACCACACTCCACAGTGAGCTATACCACTTAGTATAGTTCATTACTATTTTGTGGCCTACATTACATAGGTGTCTAGTATTTCAGTTAGAATTTGAACATCGTCATTGTATTTCAGGCTCGTGGGATTGATGTGCAACAAGTGTCATTGGTTATAAACTATGATCTACCTACCAATCGTGAAAACTATATTCACAGGTAAGTAGATGGCATCTTGACTTTACTGTACTGGTAAAATTCATACTTTGCTTTTCTACTGACTGATTTGTCTGAAAGGTAACCTCAAATCAGGGAATTGAGTAATATGACATAGTAACTTGGTAGGGTGTAATTAAAATTGTACTTGGGAAGATTGGTCATACACAGTGGGAAAACAGTTGTGAATGTTGCCCAAATTGTGGACTCTATACATACAGATAAGGTTGTTTTAGATCAGTTGGTCTTAGCTTATTTTTGAGCTGTATTTTTTAGTGATGCTCGTGTCCGTGTCCATGCGCTTTCTTGGTGATTCCTCTATAGTTGGGATTTTCTTGGTGTCATCTGGTAGCAATTTGAGCAGTCCCTGGTTTAGTTATAGTGGCTTTATCCCTAAATAAATTGAATTGTACTTTGTTATATGATGTAAAAAAAGACTTTTTAAAAAATACAGGGGTCGATAGCAGCAGTTGATGACGAGATGGCGCTCAGAAACGGCGTTGACGTAATTTAGGACGTGGAATCATAAGCGAAACAGCACACTGTTTGAATAAAGAGCGAGTCGGTATTTATATTTGTTTTTCTTTTGTCATGATTATTTGATATTTTAAGATGCTCCAGCCAAGGCATTTTGTATACTAGCCTATTAGGTGGTTTGTATTGTCTGGTTTCTATCAGGAAGGTTAGAAAGCTGTTTTTGGAGGTAAACACGTTTGAGTAATTTCAGTTATAACGTGTGAAACTGAGCAAAAAAGCAGTGATAAGTTTGGGTCACCATACCAAATATTTGTTTTCCCACTGGAAAAAGTTGTAAGTTTTAGACAGTAGTTAACCTTGCAGCATTTGTATTTGCAGTTTACAGTTCCAGAAGTGCGTCGAAATGGATTACATAACTGTTCTTTTTGTTTTATCCCTGGTGTTTTACATCTGTCCCAGGCTGACATCTGCTCTTGGCTGGCCCACTTTGGTATGGGCTTTAAATTCACTACCCCAAACACAATACTGTCATCTGCTTTAAAAAATAATAATAATAATAATGCTCAAGATACTTGATAAAATCTCATTTTGCAGCCAGACAAGCCTTGAATCCTTTTGGCACTAACTGCAAAGGAAGATTTTTTTCTCTAGATATTGATTAGCAGCTAGTGCTCCAATTAGAAGCACGAACTATAACCTTGATAAGTAAACAGCAGCTGCTGGTTAACAAGTGGATCATCATGTTCAGTAGTTCATGCAGCATGTGAAGTAGTATATTCTAATTGCTGATTTCTTTTTCTTACACAGAATTGGCAGAGGGGGTCGATTTGGGAGGAAAGGTGTGGCTATAAACTTTGTTACTGAAGAAGACAAGAGGATTCTTCGTGACATTGAGACTTTCTACAATACTACAGTGGAGGAAATGCCAATGAATGTGGCTGACCTTATTTAATTCCTGGGATGAGATAGTTTGGAATGCAGTGCTCGCTGTTGCTGAATAGGCGATCACAACGTGCATTGTGCTTCTTTCTTTGGGAATATTTGAATCTTGTCTCAATGCTCATAACGGATCAGAAATACAGATTTTGATAGCAAAGCGACATTAGTCGTGAGCTCTTGTGAGGAAAGTCATTGGCTTTATCCTCTTTAGAGTTAGACTGTTGGGGTGGGTATAAAAGATGGGGTCTGTAAAATCTTTCTTTCTTAGAAATTTATTTCCTAGTTCTGTAGAAATGGTTGTATTAGATGTTCTCTATCATTTAATAATATACTTGTGGACTAAAAGATATAAGTGCTGTATAAAATCAGCCAATTATGTTAAACTAGCATATCTACCTTTATTGTGTTTGTCATTAGCCTGAATAGAAAGGCCCTTAAAATTGATTTTTTTAGAAAGCATTTGAATGCATTTTGTTTGGTATTATATTTATTCAATAAAGTATTTAATTAGTGCTAAGTGTGAACTGGACCCTGTTGCTAAGCCCCAGCAAGCAATCATCCTAGATAGGGTTAAACGTTTACCCCAGTAAAATTGCCATATTGCACATGTCTTAATGAAGTTTGAATGTTAAATAAATTGTATATTCACTTTAAAGGTGCTTTAGTCATTTTATTTTAAATTGTTCACAAAAATACATGCTGAATATGTTTTAACAATTCTGAGTTAACTGCTGCATGACAGTTGCGCAGAGGCCGATCAGCTGTAGATGTTCATCAGCACCATCTGCTAAACATTTATCAACTTCCTACAAGAAAATGAAAGATTAGTAAGTGATTTCCCTTTTAGGTGTGTATGCCGTGCTGAAATGTAGAAGATGCCTACTTACAGCAAGTTTTTCTGTAATGACAGATTTCTGTTTATCAGAAAGGTTATCATTTTCTACAACCCCATCATGAAGTTGATTTACAAGCTGAGTTGCTGCATGACCCTCATCTATTAAGTCCTGTAGCAGAAAAGAAAATGATTTTGGTATGATTTCCATCCCTCCCCGCCAGGTTAGTAAAGTGTCTTTACCTTTACCACAGCTTCTAGTTTGTCAAAAGAGCCACTCTGACATGCAGCAAATACTCCATCGATTGTTTCAGCTGGTATTACCTAAAATAAAGAATGAATTAATTAAAAATAAAGCATAAAGTTTCTGGGTGAAGACGGTTGACTTGTTTCTCTGCCAAGCCTGTGCAAACTCCCTGGTGTTCTATGCTAGGACATGTGCCACTTCAAGCGTGGAACTGTTACCTGATACTGAATCCATACAGACGGAGCTGGGAGGGCAAAGAACTGACAAAGGGTCAGCTTTAACCCTTATGCTTCATCTGGTCTCCAGCTAGGTGATTGATAGAGAAAGCTACTGGACCTGAAACAAACTCTGGAAACATCCTGTTTCTAAGATGCCACTAACAAAATGCAGAGATGGGTTGGTTTGTTTCATTACAATACAAAATGAAACCTGAAGACAAGGGTGTGGCACAAGAGAATTCCTTTAAAGATTTAATTATAAGTTGGATATGACCCTTTTTCCTTTATAAGAAAAGGGATATCTGTTAACATATCTGACATCTGTTAGATACATCTGCCACATCCCTGCCTGCCTGAAGCATTCTGCTAACTCCCAGAATGGTACAAATGTTTATATTCCCTCAAAATTCATGTTAAAAATCCCTAATGTATTTGGAGGTGGCACTTTTGGCAGGTGATAGGAGAGTGGAACCCTCATGAATGGGATTAGTGCTCCTAAAAAAGGCTCAGAAAGCTGCTTTTTGCCACAGGGTGGTGCAGGGAGGTAAAGGCCATGCGTGAACTAGGAGTCTACTCAACTAGGAAGTGTGTCTGTCCTCAGGCACTCAATCTGCGGGCACCTTGATCTTGGATTCCCAGCCTCTGGAACTGATTTTTGTTTATAAGCCACTCAGCCTATGGCATTTGTTACAGCAGCCTGAATGGGACTAAGCACATAATAAGCACTCCATATATAAGAATTAAAAATTTTCTAAAAGCCACAAAAAAGCAAATTAAAAATTTCAGAATATCCAGTGCTCTTACCCCAGCAATGTCTGTGATCACCTTTTCTGTGACCTCCTTTCCACCTGTTAATCGAGTAGCACTTTGAAGAAATGTAATGGCTTTCCTTAAGTCTCCTTCTGACACTTTAACAAGATGAGCTAGTCCCTGAAGAGAAAAAAGTTCTTTAACCTGTTAATGGCCAATTAAGGATGTATTGGGGGAAAAACAAAATCTATTTCCATTTTTGAAGGAATGTCAGTTCTATAGTGGCAGAATTCATGGAGACAGCCATGATTACATACAGCAAGGAGAATTCAAATTACAGTTCTGTTATAATGAATAAGGGCCTATACATTCTATTACTGCCAGAATTTCATCATACCAAATTAGTCCTTGCAGTGGAGTATGGGTAATGACAAGTGGAGTACGCTGTCATGCAGAGGTTGGCTGTCGCAGAATTTGCATCCTAACATGAAATCTGCCTCAGCTTTGGGTCTCTGAAGTATTGACAGATAATAAACTTATAGTAGCAACAGAAAGGCTGAACCAGTAATTCCTAGACATTGTTTATTTAGCTTAACTTTGCCTGAAGAATCGGCATCAGAAATTGAAGCAACACAAATTTGACTTTCAGGAAGTGCCTCTTCATAGGCATTCATCAAAGGAATTAGTAAATTACAATAGTAATAACAGTGATTACCTCATTGCTAATTTTGATATGTTCTTTATCAGCGATGTCTAGTAATCGCTGCTGCTGAATTTTATCTGACAGAGGTTTGAAGCGGAATTTAGAACATCTAGAGGTCAGAGGTTCAATTATTCTGTAAAATATTGGAAAAAACAAGTCAGCGTCTAAAGAAGAAACTCCCCAGAACTCATTTTTGTCAAGAACAAATCAAGATTTGATGGAGATAACTGATTCACTTTGTTACAAAGCAGAAACTAACACACCTTTGTAAAGCAATTTTACCCCAATAAAGATGTTAAAAAAAAAAACAAGATGTGATGGAGAAACTAATGTAGCCTTGAAACATTTAAATTTTTTCTCTCCCTATTTGGGGCTATCAAAATAAGGCTGCCTTGCATCCACCTTGAGGGCATTACACATACCGACTGACATAGTTACAGATGAGACAGAATCGGGTGGTTTTAGACTCTTTCTCCATGGTACGTCTTAAAGCTGCCTGAGCAGCTGAGGTCATAGAATCTGCTTCATCCAGGATCACAATTTTAAAAGGAGGACATGGCTTCCCACTGATTCAGAGAAACACAAAGGAGTTATAATTCACACATCATTATCACAATCTAATTTTAGAACATTCTCATCACCCCAAAAGGAAACCCTGTGACCCTTAGGAGTCATTTTTTTCTCTCCCAACTGTCCCAGCCATAGGCAATCAGGAATCTCTACTTTGTTTCCACAGATTTGTCTATTCTGGACACTTCATATAAATGGAACCACATGTTGTCAACTTAATACATTGTCTTTTGTGATTGGCTTCTTTCGCTTAATGTTTTCGAGGTTCATCCATGTTGTTGTATATCATTACTTCATTTCTTTTTATTGTCAAATACTATGGCAAATGGATATACTACGTTTCATTCATTCATTCTTTAGTTGATGGATACTGGGTTGTTTCCATGTTTTGACTACTGTGAATAATGCTGATATGAACATTTGTGTACATGTGTATATGTTTTCATTTCTTGTCAGTATATATTCTAGGACTGGAATTGCTGGGTCATATGGTAACTCATAGGAGAACTGCCAAACTGTTTTCAAGATGGCTGCACCATTTTACATTCCAACCAGCAATGTATAAGGGTTCCAATTTCTCCACATCCTTGCTGATACTTGTTATTTTCTGTCTTTTTGATTACAGCCATCCTAGTGGGTGTGAAGTGGTATTTCATCATGGGTTTGATTTGCATTTCTCTAATGGCTCATGATGTTGATGAGCATGTTTTGATATGCTTATTGACCATTTGTGTATTTTCCTTAGAGTAATGTCTATTCAGATCCTTTGCCCATTTTTAAATTGGGTTGTCTTTTTATTATTGAGTTGTAAGGGTTCTTTTCTTTCTTTTTTTTTTTTTGCGGTACGCGGGCCTCTCACTGTCGTGGCCTCTCCCGTTGCGGAGCACAGGCTCCGGACGCGCAGGCTCAGCAGCCATGGCTCACGGTCCCAGCCGCTCCGCGGCATGTGGGATCCTCCCGGACCGGGGCACGAACCTGTGTCCCCTGCATCAGCAGGCGGACTCTCAACCACTGCGCCACCAGGGAAGCCCCGTAAGGGTTCTTTATTCTTGATCTAAGTCGCTTATCATGTATGTGATTTATATACATTGTCAATCCAAGGTGGATATCAAAAATTGTGTTATTCACTTTCTACAAATTCCTAAGCGTGCTCTGATATAAATTTAAATATATGCCAGGTACCAAAAATTTAACCTTGGAACTTTGCAACCTAAGGAGTATACACAGCTGCGTAAACACCCCTATTGAATTATTATTAGTAACAACTCCTTTTTCACTCAATGTGTCCCAGTTTGGACAAGGTTTTACATTGTCACCAACTATGAAATATACACTGAAGTTTAAGATATATGATAGGACTTTTAAAAAATAACATAATAGCAAAAATCAGGATTTTTATTATGAGTGTACAACCAGACCATCACATTTGATTAATAAATACTCCTTAGACAAATATCGATTAAAACCCCTTGACAGCTAAATAACTTAAAATTAGTTACTATAATGGAAAGGTCATTTCTAGGTTTAAATAATTTAAGATAAAAATACAATCTAACATGAAAAAGAAGTTGAAAATCTGGCAGAAACATGTTTTTTAAACAAATACAATGACATGGTATAGAGAAGGGAAGGTGAGCTTACTTACTCTGAACGGCTTCCTGTCACAGTTAATTGGGCAAAATTCTTCACTTTCTCTCTAACTACTTGTATTCCACGTTCATCAGATGCATTTAACTCAAGAACTCTTAATCGAAAAAGTTCAGGCCTATGTCAAAATGAAAAAACATTATGAAACATCATAGAGCATATAAGTAACCCAGGTTTATACCATATTTTAACATTTGTACGTTTTTCAGTAGTTTAAAATACACCTAGTAAACAATATGAATAGAAGGTATACAATTCATTCTGTATTTTCTCTTTTGCAAAGGCACACAGTTAACATTCTGGCTTTTTTCCATGCATTTAAAAAAATAGATGATAATGTACTAAATTTTAAGTCAATTTTCCACTTTGGACTGTATCATAAGCGTCTTGCCATGTCATGATAAACACTGTAAAAACCATTTTAATAGCTATATGACTTTCTAACCTAAGATTGTACCATCATTTACTTAACATCCTTCTGTTATTAGACATTTAGATAGTTTTAAATGTTACAATTTTAAATAATGCTGCAATGTAGCATATTTTGAATTATTTCCATAAAGTAGTTTGCTGTAAGGAAAATTACTGGATCAAAAATGAACAGTTAATTTTTAAGTGAGTTTTTTTAAAAAAACTATTAAAAGTTACTGTAGGAAAATCTGAGAACTCAAAAGAAAATAAAAATACCTGGCACACACTGCCAAACCCTGTTTTGAAGACTTCCTTCTAGTTATTTTTCTATATATATGTGTATATTTTTTTAATAGAAAAAAAAGAGTTGGGATTTCGTCTTTATTTTTCCTAAATAGCATGATATCCTACGCATTTTTCTATGGGCATAAACATCTAGAAAGCTCTGTGCATGTATTTTCTATTTTAAAACCACATATACTATTAAATGTGGAATTTATAGTTAAGGCCTTTTAGGTCTATCAAGACAAACATTTAAAAAAAATATTTTACAAGTTATATAATTTGGACTAACCTACTGTAGAACAACCAATAATAAACTATACTTAACAGTTTCATGATGACTACATCGCTAAGGATGATTCAGACTGGATCTAACTGAGTTGTAGAATAATCAAAAAACCTCTCTTAAAATTTCCTCGGGAAAATGAAAGTTGCTGTCAAATAAAATCCTCAGTTCAGAGCAGCTTCCCCCTTTTGTCCTCCTTCACATTTCAACAGAACTGATTATCCTTATATATTTGGTGGTTTCAGAGGCATCTAATTATCTTCATGTGTAGGATTTCAGATGTACCCTTAGGCCATATGCCTGATATTAAAATTCTGGATTAATTAAAGATAGGCTTTGTTATGTTGGTGCATGTTGCATAGATATCAGACATGGCTGATACGTGTCTTTTAACCTTAGGTAAAGGGCTCCTCTACTACAACAGTTGGCTAAGCCGAGACAGTCAGTCTAGGACTGAATAAGAAGGTCGCTCATAGAGATTTTCTGCTGTACCTGGAATCATACTGCCTCAACTACCACACACTCTGCTTATACTCAGGATACGTGAGGGCAAGGAGCTGGCCCAGCCACTCGAGAGGCAGGCCCTGGCAAGTCCAGAGCAAGAAGGAAGTCAAGAAGGGGTGGTGCGCACCAGTAGCATCAAATAGCAAATTCCATGACAGATGTGAACACGACCACTAAAAGTCATGAAACTATCAGCATGACTGGAGATAGGGTCTTCTGGTTTCCAAAATCATAATGAAAGAGTTAAAGTGATGAAAAAAATCACAAGGCTCCTTGTAGTACACTCAAACATTTGAACAGGGTTCAGAATAAAGGTTACAAAAGATACAGGCAAGCTAATTTATTGGAGGGGAGGAACTGGAAATGGGCCAGCTGGATTGTTAAAAAATTCAGAACAAAAATAAACCCAACAACCTCCCGGAAAAACCAAATGCAAAGCTTTAGAGAATGAAAAGCAGTACCAGAGATTCTTAGCGTCAAGTCTTTAAAAAAGAGAGAGAGAGAGATTTCAACTTACCCAAAGAGTTCCCTAGCTGCTGCCAAAATAGTGGATGTTTTTCCAGTTCCAGGTGGGCCGTAAAACAAGAGATTAGGGAGCTGTAGAAGTTAAATTTTATTTTTTTAAAAATTGTATTCTGGCACAAATAGGTGAAAGTGACTAAAAATGTCTATGGAACAGTGCAATGACTTCCCTAATAGGGCACATATATCTGAATACAAGGATTTCTTAATATAACTGGTATCATAGTAACAACAGTACTAAATCCTGCTTTTTCACAAACACCATCATTTTTCCCTAAGAGATCTTTCTAATATCTTAAGCTGAATCAATATTTATGATTGTTCTACACCTAATCTAATACTTAGGTGGGATTTTCAAAGCTGGAATTAAAAACCTCTTATTTCTGAAGGGAATACTAGGCTTCTGTCAGTTCCCTGTCCCACACCTAGGCTCAGGACTGGGCAAGATTTTATATTTTATAAAGATGTCAGTTGCTTCAAAAGGAACACAGACCAAATTGGATTTGGCCAATACTGAGGAAAAAGGAATGAAAATGGCATACTGGGGCTTTGCATGAGCTAAAGTTCCAAGAACAGAAATATTAAAAAAAACCAAGCATCTTTGAAGTGCCAGGCCGTGGTCCACATCATGATTACATACCCTGCCTGTAGGGATACCCGCATGTATCAGGGAGATTTCATCAGTGGAAGACAGGATAAGATTAAATAACTAGTTATCTTCTTTTATACCTTAAGTCTAGCTGGCTTGGCACCTATCAAATAGGCAACTGATCTGTGGTACAGATTAACAAATGTACTAAATTCTAATGAGCACTGTAATTAAACTGTACATTCTTTTTTTCTTTTAATTTTATTTCATATTGGAGTACAGCTGATATACAATGTTGTGTGTTTCAGGTGTACAGCAGAGTGATTCAGTTATACATATATCTATTCTTTTTCAAATTCTTTTCCCATTTAGGTTATTACAGAGTATTGAGCAGAGTTCCCTATGCTATATAGCAGGTCCTTGTTGGTTATCTATTTTAAATATAGCAATGTGTACATGTCAACCCTAAACTCCCAATCTATCCTCCCACCACCGCTTCCCCCCTGGTAACCATTAAGTTTGTTCACTAATTCTGTTTCTGTTTTGTAAATAAGTTCATTTGTATCATTTTCTTTTAGATTCCGAATATAAGTGATATATATTTGTCTTTCTCCATGAAACTATACATTTCTTTCATGTACGGAAATCACTGCACATAGGAAACTAAGCAGTATAGTTTATTTGCTTCCACTCTTGCCTAACCTTCCCCCCTCCCAGCCATTCATTCTTCACCCAAATCAGATGCCACTCTGCTTGCTACTTAAAGTTATTCACTGTATTCATACTCCACTTAGAAAAACAAAACAGACAAAAAAAATCACCCTGCTTACCATAACCTACAAGGATGTCCATGATCTGCTCACCACCTCTCACACTTTCTAAGTTCCAACTTACAATGGCCTCCAACAGCTAAGCACTTTCTGGCCTGCACATATGCTGTCCCCCATGAGCTGGGGTCTGGCTCCATTCTTCTGTCTGGCAACTCCTACTGCATTACAAGTCAGAAGCCTTCCCTGACCACACAATCTAAAGAGGGTTTCCTCTGTTATTCTCTCACTGGTCTTTGTTGCACTTGATGTAATTTGCAATTATTTATTGTTATTTATGTAACTGTTAGGTTTAATTGTAAAATACCCATTCACCTCACTATATGAGAAGCTTGAGAAGGTCAAGAACCTTATTTGTTCTATTCACATCTATATTCTCAGCATCTCCTACAGTACTCAGTATGCACCAAGTAAATAAACCAACATATAAATGTATTAGTTAAAAGACTATTACTGTTACACTGGTAACATACAGCTTAAGATACAAACTATGAGATTCACTATTTAAAAACAAAAGCAAAAGCAAAACCTCCTAGGCGTCTTCATTTTTAAGGTTGTAACTGTTATTTTGATCCAACTACCTCAGTAGTTGTAATGGTTCATCCAGTCAACTATTACAATAATTTAAATCCTTTAAAACATGGTTAAATTACTAAACCCTACATTATGTAACAGTCTGATATGTGTATATATATATATATATATATATGCATTTAAGAACTGTACATGGACTAGCAGTTCTAAAAATTGATTTCTGAAAAATCTCTTATAATTCTACTGTAAAACCCTTTAATATAAATGAAGGAATGAATTTTTTCCTTTACTCTTTAGAGTTAAAAAAATTACTTCAACTTTAAGTTTCAAAAAACTTAAGTCTGAAAAGAAACAAATCATTAAACAAGTGGATAAAGAAGAAAGTTCTTAGTTCAGCCTCATAAATTAGATGGTATAAAGAACTGGATCATAATCCCACTACATTTGCCAAAAGAGCTGAGAATCCCAGCAATTAAAATACATCATGGTGCTTCCCTGGTGGCGCAGTGGTTGAGAGTCGCCTGCCGATGCGGGGGACAAGGG